AGCTGTATACTGTCTAAACAGCCATTAGTATAGCCCAGACAACCGTCTATTGGCCAGACAGCTGTATACTGTCTAAACAGCCATTAGTGTAGCCCAGACAACCGTCTATTGGCCAGACAGCTGTATATATATATAACTGTCCAAAGAGCCGTCTACCGCTTCTGACAGACCCGTAAAGTCGTCACCACATACCAGCTGTCACAATGGACATAATATATCAATCATTTCCTCCCCACTTCACAGGGAAACCTCTACACGAGGAGAGGAAATCTCTCATTTTACTTATGCTATCAACACTTAGAGGGTGAAAACAAAAGAGGTGAAAGAGCCGCTTTAGCTCTCACGGAGACTTGCACAAGACGATGAATCCCTTAGAAGCGTTTGGGATAAAATCGCTGGGTCCACTCTCTCTTTTTTTTTCTCCCATCTCCCTCCTTCTCTTTCTCTCCACCCCTCTCTTTTTCCCCTCTCTCTCTCTCTTCCCTCACCGTCCCGTCGCCCTCTCCCCCTTCTCCTTTCCCCTCTCTTGGCGCGCAAACTGATTAGTCCGCCAAGTGAGTATCGGGATGCGCAAATTATGTTAGGGGGCTTTTGGAGAGCAAATTTCAAGAGAGATTCGTCGCGTTTCTCGTCGCGTCAAGAACGACAGAGAGCCGAACGACCCGTTCGTTAAAATATGTTCCACGCTATTGTTTTTAACGAGATAGATAGACAGAGAGAGATAGATTTATTTACGAAGGAGAAGCTATTTGGAGAGAGATTTTCTGTTACTTGGTGTCTTAGAGTTTGAGGAAGGTAGTGTTCGGACCGTTTGAGTAGGTTAGGTTCGGTGGGATTCGTTCGGCGGGCACGGAGCGAAGGGGTGTGGGGGGGGGGAGGCCCCCTGCTCGTCGGATAATAGACCAATCAGAGTTCGCCAGAGGGTGAAATGGGGAACGATGACAATTTAATTTATCTTTTACGACCATTCGGTGCCGGTAATTTGCGTACACGCTAGTTTGAACGCCCTCACACCAGTCATGTGTGTGTGTGTGTGTGTGTTGGTGGGCGTGTGTTTGCGCGTGTGCGTGCATCGGTGTGTGTGTGTGTGTGTGTGTGTTTACTAATTGTGCCTGTAGGGTTCAGCCTTAGCTCTTGGACTCCACCTCTCCAGGCTTAAGCAATGCATCCCTGACCTAACGTTCAATCGTTTCTACTTTTGAAATTATGGATGGAGTTGACTCTCTACAACCTGCTCCTTTACTGCGTTCAATTTTCACATCTGTTACTCATCTGAGTCTCAAGCTTCCACCCCCGTGCTATCTTGTTCTGTTGGTGCTCATTAAGAATATTTCCTCTTTTTTTCCACTCTGTCAATCCCCCGAAGTATTTCATACGTATGTATCATGTCTCTCTCTCTCTCTCTGTCTCTCTCTCTCTGTCTGTCTCTCTCTCTCTGTCTCTCTCTCATCGTCTCTCTCTCTGTCTCTCTCTCTCGCTCTCTCATCTCTCTCTCTCTCATCTCTCTCTCTCTCTCTCTCTCTCTCTCTCTCTCTCTCTCTCTCTCTCTCTATCGTTTCTAGCGTCGTCAGGTTTAGTTCCTTCGGTCTCTCTTCATACCTCATCCCTCGCAATTCTGGGACGAGTCTCGTTGCAAACTTCTGCACCTTTTCGAGGTTCCTTACACTTTTTTTTTTTATTGGGCTCCACGATGGTGCGGCATACTTTAAAACCGATCTTACATAACCGGTATACAGTAATCTAACCTACACCTTCCTATTTAAGTTCCGAAAGAACCTTGTGACTTTCACTAGTGTAGAGTATACGGCTGACGGTATCCTATTTATATGAGTCTCTGGAGTTAGGTTTGGTGTTAAGTTCACTCCCAGGACACACAGAAATCACAATAGCGTGATGCATCAAATGAACAAATCCACAAGGGCCGTGACGAGGATTCGAACCTGCGTCCGAGAGCATCAGTAGAACTCGGTTTCAACTCTTATGACTATGTCGTAGCTCAGTCGATTAAGGCAGCGTCTGGGATGCTCTCGGACGCAGGTTCGATTCCTCGTCATGGCCCTTGTGGATTTGTCCACTCCCAGGTCTTGTTCTCTAGTCGTTATAGGGGAGGGGGAGGGATGGTAGTTTCCCGTCGTCGTGTACTGGCCTTTTGATCTCTTAGCGCCTGTTTTCATTTCCATCACCTTAAACTTGTTGATGTTGAACTCTAGCAGCCATTTGTTGGACCTGCTCTGCGGCTTGTTTACGTCATCTTTGGAGAATCTTACACTCCTCATGTGTCTCAGTCCTCCTCATTAGTCTCGCATCGTCTGCAAACATCGACTTAAAAGACCCAACTCCTGTCAACGGGTCATTTGCATAAATGAGGACTAGTTTGGGGTCCCAGCACTGATCCTTGAGGCACCCTGCTCGTCACCCTCTTCCAGTCTGACATCTCGCCCCTCACTGACGTGTCATTCCGATCCCTGACGATCCCTGACAATCCCTGACGATCCTTGACGATCCCCGACGATCTCTTACGATCCCTGACAATCCCTGACGATCCCTGAGGATCTCTTGCGATCCCTGACGATCCCTGATAATCCCTGACGATCATTGACGAACCCTGACGATCTCTTACGATCCCTGAGGATCCCTGACGATCCCTGATAATCCCTGACGATCATTGACGAACCCTGACGATCCCTGACGATCTCTTACGATCCCTGACGATCTCTTACGATCCCTGAGGATCCCTGACGATCCAAGTTGATGGACACCATTCATTTTCTCCGTCCTATCCCAACTCCTTATCCTCATATCCCTTCCTATCGTCATACAGTCACACTGGTTAGGTTCTTTGTCCTTATAAAAAAAAACTTTGTCCATTCTGTCTATGGCTCTAAACTTTGTTGTGCGTTGTTCATGTAGGCCTATGTTTCATCCATGTTCATGTAGGCCTATGTTTCATCCATGTTCATATAGGCCTATGATTCATCCATGTTCATATAGGCCTATGTTTCATCCATGTTCATATAGGTCTATGTTTCATCCATGTTCATATAGGCCTATGTTTCATCCATGTTCATGTAGGCCTATGATTCATCCATGTTCATGTAGGCCTATGATTCATCCATGTTCATGTAGGCCTATGTTTCATCCATGTTCATGTAGGCCTATGTTTCATCCATGTTCATATAGGCCTATGATTCATCCATGTTCATATAGGCCTATGTTTCATCCATGTTCATATAGGCCTATGTTTCATCCATGTTCATATAGGCCTATGATTCATCCATGTTCATATAGGCCTATGTTTCATCCATGTTCATGTATCTCCCCTTCTTCGTTGGCAGGTCTGGTTCCCTCAGGCTTTCCTCATGTGTCAGTTCTCTCCGTTTCAGGACCAGTCTTATGACAATCTTCTTGGCTTAGAATGGCTCAGTCTTATTTCAGCAACTGCCCTCTTCATCAACTCTCCAGCGCCTCGACACTTTAGAGCGCTCTCCTCATCAACTCTCCAGCGCCTCGACACTTTAGAGCGCTCTCCTCATCAACTCTCCAGCGCCTCGACACTTTAGAGCGCTCTCCTCATCAACTCTCCAGCGCCTCGACACTTTAGAGCGCTCTCCTCATCAACTCTCCAGCGCCTCGACACTTTAGAGCGCTCTCCTCATCAACTCTTCAGCGCCTCGACACTTTAGAGCGCTCTCCTCATCAACTCTTCAGCGCCTCGACACTTTAGAGTGCTCTCCTCATCAACTCTCCAGCGCCTCGACACTTTAGAGCGCTCTCCTCATCAACTCTCCAGCGCCTCGACACTTTAGATTGCTCTCCTCATCAACTCTCCAGCGCCTCGACACTTTAGAGCGCTCTCCTCATCAACTCTCCAGCGCCTCGACACTTTAGAGCGCTCTCCTCATCAACTCTCCAGCGCCTCGACACTTTAGAGCGCTCTCCTCATCAACTCTCCAGCGCCTCGACACTTTAGAGCGCTCTCCTCATCAACTCTTCAGCGCCTCGACACTTTAGATTGCTCTCCTCATCAACTCTTCAGCAACTGCATCTCGACCAAAAAAAAAAACACACATTAATGTACAATTTTCCGGAGAAGAGAATTACTGACACATAAAAAAATCTATTTACTAATTATACATTTTATTCGTGTTTGATTAATATAAATTGTGGAAAACACCGGGGCCTCGTTAGTCAGACCAAACACGCACTTTAGAGTGTGTCACTTTAGAGTGTGTCACTTTAGAGTGTGTCACTTTAGAGTGTGTCACTTTAGAGTGTGTCACTTTAGAGTGTGTCACTTTAGAGTGTGTCACTTTAGAGTGTGTCACTTTAGAATGTGTCACTTTAGAATTAGAATGTGTTGCAATTAGACATTAGAGGATGTATAGAGCTTTCGACCTCGTTTATAATGACTTGTAGTCCCTACAGCCTCGTTATTAGTGACGGAGCCTCGTTATAAGGAAATATATATGGAGCCTCGTTATATTGATATGTGATTTTTTTATGGCGATGAGGCATATTCGTGTGGTTGTGGAGCGTGAGTTCCCTCCAGTAAGGAAAGGCCTTGCTCCATGTATGAGGCTCGAACTCTTGGGAAAATCAACAGGAGCAGTGGTGAGGACTCGAACCTACGCGTCTGGGAACCTATTCCGAGACGCAGGCAGAGGTGGAACTACTGGATGTGAGAAGCCAGACTGCATGGAGGGGTGTGGGGGGGGGGGGGTGAAGCCCTGATTTAGCTTCAGTTTAAGACTCACGGAAGCCTCGTGGGTTCAGTAGTGCTTCAGGTGGCAGTTCTTTATGACCATTAACAAGCAGTCACATTTGTCCCCACCTTATACCGCACAATACTGCACAATACTGCACAATACCGCACAATACCGCACAATACCGCACAATACTGTACAATACCGCACAATACTGCACAATACCGCACAATACTGCACAATACCGCACAATACTGCACAATCCTTCACTGTCACAACCAGTTTACTCTAGCAAGAATGACCTTTCTAGATCCGCAGTACTTTGATGATGAGTTTCGAGTGAGTCAAGTGAGTTGATGATGAATTTCGAGTGAGTCAAGTGAGTTGATGATGAATTTCGAGTGAGTCAAGTGAGTTGATGATGAGTTTCGAGTGAGTCAAGTGAGTTGACGATGAGTTTCGAGTGAGTCAAGTGAGTTGACGATGAGTTTCGAGTGAGTCAAGTGAGTTGACGATGAGTTTTCGAGTGAGTCAAGTGAGTTGATGATGAGTTTCGAGTGAGTCAAGTGAGTTGACGATGAGTTTCGAGTGAGTCAAGTGAGTTGACGATGAGTTTCGAGTGAGTCAAGTGAGTTGACGATGAGTTTCGAGTGAGTCAAGTGAGTTGACGATGAGTTTCGAGTGAGTCAAGTGAGTTGACGATGAGTTTCGAGTGAGTCAAGTGAGTTGACGATGAGTTTCGAGTGAGTCAAGTGAGTTGACGATGAGTTCGAGTGGGTCAAGTGAGTTGACGATGAGTTTCGAGTGGGTCAAGTGAGTTGACGATGAGTTTTCGAGTGGGTCAAGTGAGTTGACGATGAGTTTCGAGTGGGTCAAGTGAGTTGACGATGAGTTTCGAGTGGGTCAAGTGAGTTGACGATGAGTTTCGAGTGGGTCAAGTGAGTTGACGATGAGTTTCGAGTGGGTCAAGTGAGTTGACGATGAGTTTCGAGTGGGTCAAGTGAGTTGACGATGAGTTTCGAGTGGGTCAAGTGAGTTGACGATGAGTTTCGAGTGGGTCAAGTGAGTTGACGATGAGTTTCGAGTGGGTCAAGTGAGTTGACGATGAGTTTCGAGTGGGTCAAGTGAGTTGACGATGAGTTTCGAGTGAGTCAAGTGAGTTGACGATGAGTTTCGAGTGAGTCAAGTGAGTTGACGATGAGTTTCGAGTGAGTCAAGTGAGTTGACGATGAGTTTCGAGTGAGTCAAGTGAGTTGACGATGAGTTTCGAGTGAGTCAAGTGAGTTGACGATGAGTTTCAACGAGCAGTGAGCTCACTGAGACGAGTGAGTGAGACGAGGCCGGAAAGCGACGCAGCAATTTAGTTAATGGCCAAAAAAGGCTTCATGTGACACCTGCGACACACCGCAAGCTTAAAACACTTTAATTAATTAATTAAACAACTATTTGATCGTTATCTCCTTGTAAACAATGTTTGTAACGGGGGTTGAGGCGTCGACGAGCAGTTGTTGTTTAGCCTGGGTAGCCTCAGAGCTTCCTTACCTGTCTCGTAAGCTTCGTTATCTGTTTCGTAAGCTTCGTTACCTGTTTCGTAAGCTTCGTTACCTGTTTCGTAAGCTTCGTTACCTGTTTCGTAAGCTTCGTTACCTGTTTCGTAAGCTTCGTTACCTGTTTCGTAAGCTTCGTTACCTGTTTCGTAAGCTTCGTTACCTGTTTCGTAAGCTTCGTTACCTGTTTCGTAAGCTTCGTTACCTGTCTCGTAAGCTTCGTTACCTGTTTCGTAAGCTTCGTTACCTGTCTCGTAAGCTTCGTTACCTGTTTCGTAAGCTTCGTTACCTGTTTCGTAAGCTTCGTTACCTGTTTCGTAAGCTTCGTTATCTGTTTCGTAAGCTTCGTTATCTGTTTCGTAAGCTTCGTTACTTTTCGTAAGCTTCGTTACGTGTTTCGTAAGCTTTACTGTTTCGTAAGCTTCGTTACGAGTTTCGTAAGCTTCGTTACTGTTTCGAGCTTCGTTTCTGTTTCGTAAGATTACGGAGTTTCGTGTTTCGTAAGATTATGGAGCTTCGTTACCTGTTTCGTAAGATCGCGGAGCTTCGTTACGTGTTTCGTAAGATTACGGAGCTTCGTTACGAGTTTCGTAAGATTACGGAGCTTCGTTACGTGTTTCGTAAGATTATGGAGCTTTGTTACCTGTTTCGTAAGATAACGGAGCTTCGTTTCCTGTTTCGTAAGATTACGGAGCTTCGTTACCTGTTTCGTAAGATAACGGAGCTTCGTTACCTGTTTCGTAAGATAACGGAGCTTCGTTACCTGTTTCGTAAGATAACGGAGCTTCGTTACCTGTTTCGTAAGATAACGGAGCTTCGTTACCTGTTTCGTAAGATTACGGAGCTCCGTTTCCTGTTTCGTAAGATTACGGAGCTTCGTTAAGTGTTTCGTAAGATTACGGAGCTTCGTTAAGTGTTTCGTAAGATTACGGAGCTCCGTTTCCTGTTTCGTAAGATTACGGAGCTCCGTTAAGTGTTTCGTAAGATTACGGAGCTTCGTTAAGTGTTTCGTAAGATTACGGAGCTTCGTTAAGTGTTTCGTAAGATTACGGAGCTTCGTTAAGTGTTTCGTAAGCTCAACACAATAATATAATAGTACTAAATTATACAATAGGCCCTGCAACAGCAACAGACGAATAGATCACAATACAACAGCCATGCAGAAACAGCAAGCCAAAGCATAATACAAAAAAGGCAATAAAGAGCGCAATAAAAATAATACAATAGCTGCTACACCACTCGACTACAGCACAATACAAAAACTGCATACAATTAGACGAGGAGGAAGATACAGCCGTCTTTGTCAGCGAAAAATACAACATGCAGCATTAACCAGGATATTAAAACTGACACACACACACACACACACACACACACACACACACACCACACACAGGAACACACCTGTTCATTGACGGTTGAGGGGCGGGACCAAAGAGGCAGAGCTCAACCCCCGCAACACAACTAGGTGAGTACACACACACACACACACACACACACACACACACACACACACCACACACACACCCACACACAACACACCACACACAGGAACCTGTACACCTGTTGATTGACGGTTGAGGGGCGGGACCAAAGAGGCAGAGCTCAACCCCCGCAAACACAACTAGGTGAGTACACACGATGTCTATATGTTGCTGGTGACTTCAATTAATTTAAGTCAAAGGTAGGTATCAGGGGGAAAGCGCCAAGCCATCATGACTATATAGCACTGGGAAGGGGGGGTCAGGATAAGGAATTGGGATGGGACGGGGGGAAAGGAATGGTGCCCAACCACTCGTGGACGGTCGGGGATTGAACGCCGACCTGCAGGAAGCGAGACCTGAAGACCGGAAGAATAAGGAAGACAGAAGATGGGACGAATTAAGGACGTTCGAATTAGGGTGCGCCACAGGTGTGTTTAAGGGCTCGAACCTGTCCTCTCGCGTAATGCATCGTGATTTTTTTTTACCAAACTGTCAAATTTTTTTTTTTTTTAGGACAAATTAAAGCAGCGTAATAGGAACGTTTGCTGGCTGTCGGCCGCTGTAGATGAGGCGGGAGACTTGTAGTTCTGGTTAGTCAAACTTGGTTGATTTTTTTTTTTTTTAACGGAGGTTCAGATCGCGTGGACACCAGGGTGTCTATCCATTCTATTACTGACATCTGTACAGCTGTTTGTGTCAATAGTGGCAGCTGTTGCGGTTTCTCACCTGTGTTCAACCCGGCCTCTTATAAATAACGTCGCTTTTCGCTCGTATGCGCGCTATGGCCAAAAATTGACGGAATTTGAAATGAAATCGGCTCAAGAAAGTGATGTACTGTCCCGTTTTCTGTTTGAGTCGTCCGGCTTACTCGGTTAGGTTAGGAGAGGAAACTTTCAATTAACGTTTTTCATGATGTTTTGAAACGTTAGGAGAATTTGCTGCCCTCCTAACCTGTTGTTGTTATAGATTCAGCTACTGGGAACAAGTTCCAAGTAGCACGGGCTATGGTGAGCCCGTAACCTCCTAACCTACCAGAGGACCCTTAACTTGCTGTTTTTGAAAAAAAAAAATCTCAAATTTATTTTCAATTTTTTAATTTTCAAATTACGTCCATTTTCGGCCTTACGATTAAACGGCCAAATTCAGACGTGATTTGTAACCGGACTTGCATCCTTTGTTTACATCCTTAACTCACGTGAAACATTTCGTAACTGAACGAAGACTAAAGCAACAAACATCATCAAATTACATCTGGCTGAAAATGATAGTTTTTTGAATTGTTAAAAAAAAATAATTTGTCAACATATTTTTCTTTGTTCGATTAAAATATAAACATTTATGATTTAGTTTTTTCTCGCACGTTAAAACTACTTTTTGTGAAGAAGTGTGTAAAATATTATTAATGAAACCAGAGTTTTTGTCTTTTATCTGCAGAGAGAAATTTTAGAGAGAGAGAGAGAGAGAGAGAGAGAGAGAGAGAGAGAGATTTTAGAGAGCGAGAGAGAGAGAGAGAGAGATTTTAGAGAGCGAGAGAGAGAGAGAGATTTTAGAGAGCGAGAGAGAGAGAGAGATTTTAGAGAGCGAGAGAGAGAGAGAGATTTTAGAGAGCGAGAGAGAGAGAGAGATTTTAGAGAGCGAGAGAGAGAGAGAGATTTTAGAGAGCGAGAGAGAGAGAGAGATTTTAGAGAGCGAGAGAGCGAGAGAGAGAGAGAGAGAGTGTGTGTACTCACCTAGTTGTGCTTGTGGGAGTTGAGCTCTGGCTCTTTGGGCCCGCTTCTCAACTGTCAATCAGTCAACTGATTCCCCCCACCACCACCACCAAACACACCCAGGAAGCAGCCCGTAACAGCTGTCTAACTCCCAGGGGTCAGATTCACGAAACAGTTACGCAAGTAGTTACGAACATGCACATCTTTCCTCAACCTTAGACGGCTTTGGTTACATTTATTAAACAGTTTACAAGCATGAAAACTTGCCAATCAACTGTTGTTATTGTTATAAACAGCCTCCTGGTGCTTCGGACCTCATTAACTGTTTAATAATTGTAAACAAAGCCGCCAAATATTGAGAAAAGAATACGGGTTCGCAAGTGCTTGCGTAACTGCTTCGTGAATCTGGCCCTAGGTACCTATTTACTGGTAGGTAAAAGGGGCATCAGGGTGAAAGTAACTCTGCCCGTTTGTTTCTGCCATGACCGGGGATTGAACCCGGACCCCTAGGATTACGAGTCCAGAGCACTTTCCACTCAGCTATCAGGGCCCCCTCCTGATAGCCTCCTCATCTGTGTGTGTGTGTGTGTGCGCGCGCGCGTGTGTGTGTGCGCGCGTGTGTGTGTGCGCGCGTGTGTGTGTTTGTGTGTGTATGTATGTGTGTGTGTACATATAATTATATGTGTATATATGTGTTGTTATATATTATATGTGTATATATACACACATACACACCTATTATGTGTATATACACACCTATTATATGTGTATATAATAGCTGTGTACTCACCTAAATGAGCCTGCAGAGTCGGGCATCTGCTCATAAGCCACATATTTCTTTCCATATTTACATTTAAATTTATGTATGGAACTGGCTTCGACAACCTCCTCATCCGGTCCGCTCCACTCACGACTGAGAGACTGGCACACTTCTTCCTGGCCTCCCTGTGACCCGTTCTCCAGTCCCCCCAATGACATCCTCTCGTCTATTGTTCCTTAGTTTGAACATTGCTTCCCTATCTACTTTGCCAAAGCGCCTTTAGTATCTTGTACGCCGTTATCATGTCTGCCCTATTCCTTCTTCCGAACATTGTAGTCTTCCTCCGTACCACCTCCTCCTCCTTCCTCCTCCCTCCTTCCTCTTCCTTCTCTTCCTTCCTCCTCCTCCTTCCTCCTTCCTCCTCCTCCTTCCTCCTTCCTCTTCCTTCTCTTCCTTCCTCCTCCTCCTCCTTCCTCCTTCCTCCTTCTTCCTCTTCCTTCTTCCTCCTCCCTTCTTCCTCTTCCTTCCTCTTCCCCCTTCTTCCTCTTCCTCCTTCCTCCTCCCTTCTTCCTCTTCCTCCTTCCTCCTCCCTTCTTCCTCTTCCTCCTTCCTCCTCCTGCTCCTCCCTCCTCCTCCTCCTCCCTCCTCCTCCTCTTTCCTCCTCTCTCTACCTCCCCCCCCTCCTCCTACACCCGAGGGAGGTGAGAGTAGCCAGTTCGACGTCTGTTGTTTCTTAGGGCGGTGGCCATTACCCGCGCTGCTTACACTGTCAACAAACCCACGTGGCCGGCTAACTACCCACACTGTCAGCCGCCAACACGAGGCATAAGCCACTCCCGACAGCCCTCTGCCCCCCCCCCCTACCCCTCCCCAGGGGACACCTCCCCCCCCCCTTACCCCAAACATTCCCCCCCCCCTTTCCTCCATTCCCCGTATAGGGGACGAGAGATTGGGTGGGGGGGATGGGCTATCGAACGATTGATTCGATAGCTCATAGTGCAATAGATTTACAGCTATCGAATGTTATAGATGAAGTCTCTGCGAATACACTTATTATTATTTTTATTATTATTATTGTCTTTACTCTTCACTGTGTCTACTCTATTACTCATTATGTTCATCAATATCCTCGTCCTACTCATCATGTTTAGTCATACTCAGCCATCAAGTCACACCTGTTGTCACTCATGGCCACACACCTGTTGTCCCTCATGGCCACACACCTGTTTTCACTCATGGCCACACACCTGGAGCTACTCATACCCACACACATCTGCCACACACCACAACACGTTTCAACACAAAACACCCCGAGGGAGGGAGGGAGCCATGCACTGGCTAAACACACACACACACACACACACACACACACACAACACAAACGTTCTGTAAGGGGGTGACTGAAAAGGTAAGATCTCCAGGCTCACGGAGAGCAGTGGCCTGCACACCCCAGATCAACATGAACTGGGAGGAAAAGCCAGGAAAGACTATCCCGTCTTTCCCAGCTACGCCAACACTGTGACATAATCACGGAAGCGTTAGAGGAAAAACAAAATGCAGATGTGGTTTACACGGACTTTATAAAAAAAAAAGCTTTTCATGATTATACTAACCCAGAGTAACAGTTGAAATAAATACAAAATAGTTGAAAAGTAGTTGAAATAACAGGTCAAGTTGAGTGATAGATAACAACAACAACAATTTCGTGTCTATTAGACTGCAGACAGTTAGACGGAATTAAGGTAGAAGGACAGCAAAGAGCTCCCATCTAGAGAGGTCCAGCGAAGGCGGGACCAGAGAGCCAGAGCTCAACCCCCTGCAAGCGCTACTAGATGAGTACTCTCTGACACCTCTTGCCTCCTCCTGACCCCTCTTGCCTCCTCCTGACCCCTCTGTTTCCCGCCCGAGAGGTACTCCCGCTCGTGTAGGACCCTGTGGCCTAGTGCTGAATGCCTTCTCCAAAAGGCACTCAATACATCCGTCTATATTTCCTGTTGTATTCCCCTCGGCTTGTTGTACATTTTCATTCGTCCAGTTTGTGTTACTTGACGGGGTAATGGAGGTGACTGGGGCGCTCCTGTCTGTAGTACAGGCGCCACAGTGACCGTCTTCAGGCTCTCTGGCAGTTCCTCTTGTATCTAGTGAGGGTTTGTGGTGGAGAGGAGGCATGGTCAAGGGTGAGGCAGCTGCCTCCTAGGGTGTGTGTGTGTGTGTGTGTGTGTGTGTGTGTGTTCTGTGTGTGTGTGTGTGTGTGTGTCCCTGAGGGTGACCAGACAAAAATAGAGTGCAGTGATACGAGGGGCGAGGCGGGAGCAAGTGTGTGGGAGATTATCACACCAACTGTCTCAATGTCACGCTCCTACTCTCTCTCTCTCTCTCTCTCTCTCTCTCTCTCTCTCTCTCTCTCTCTCTCTCTCTCTCTCTCTCTCTCTCTCTCTCTCTCTCTCCTCTCTCTCTCGTCTCTCTCTCTCTCTCTTTATTATCCCTCCCCCCCCCCCTCCCCCCCCCGCTCCAGCAGGAGGGGCTGACCATACAAGGGGGGTGCATACAACATACGCCAGTGCTGACCCCAACATACGCTGCGTGCTGCCACATTCTGAAGCATTCCTGCCTCAGGGTCAATACTAACTCATCCGGCAGCTGCACTACTAACCTAAGCTGAGCTGGCCACAAGCCCACACACGTGAGAGCGGCCCCACGGGTACACCCCCACCCCCTCCCCCCCACACTGGCTGGGAAGACAGCGTTTAGGATGAATATCAACAGAGAGAACTTGGCCGGAAGAGAGACAATACTCCTTAGACAATGCGCACCTGTTGCACAGGTGTTGTAGAAAGGGCAATCAGTTAAGCACAGGAGGAAGCAGCAGGTACGGGGGAGAGGGAGGGAGGGGAGGGGAGGGGGGAGGGAGGGAGGACGTATAAGATAAGTTTGTCAAGAGTCGTTGGAGTTAGATGGCCGCTGCTTGGAGAGGGCTCGGGGCTAAGGAGCTGAAGATCGGTCCTGCAAACTCCTGCTAGGCGAGAACACAGACACACACATCTATTGAGGGTTTCTGTGTGGAGAGACAGGCAGGAGTAACTGGTAAGGTGCTCCAGTGGATAAGGGAGTACCTAAGCAATAGGAAGCAGAGAGTTACAGTGAGGGGCGAGACCTCAGATTGGCGTGAAATCACCAGTGGAGTCCCATAGCGCTCTGTACTCAGACCTATTCTGTTTCTGATGTACGTAAATGATCTCCCAGAGGGTATAGACTCATTCCTCTCAATGTTTGCTGACGACGTCAAAATTATGAGGATTAAGACAGAGGAGGATTGCTTGAGGCTTCAAGAAGACCTGGACAAACAGAAGGAATGATCGAACAAGTGGCTGTTAGAGTTTAACCCAAGCAAATGTAATGTAATGAAGATAGGTGTAGGGAGCAGGAGACCAGATACAAGGTATCATTTGGGAGATGAAATACTTCGAGTCAGAGAGAGAGAGAGACCTGGGGGATGATATAACGCCAGACCTGTCCCCTGAAGCTCATATCAAGAGGATAACATCAGCAGCATATGCCAGGTTGGACAACATAAGAACGGCCTTTAGAAACTTGTGTAAGGAATCATTCAGAACATTATATACCACATAGGTCAGACCAATCCTGGAGTATGCGGCTCCAGCATGGAGTTCATATCTAGTCAAGCATAAGACTAAACTGGAAAAGCTTCAAAGGTTTGCCACCAGACTAGTACCCGAATTGAGGGGTATGAGCTACGAGAAGAGACTACGGGAATTAAACCTCACCTCGCTGGAAGACAGAAGAGTTAAGGGAGACATGATCACCACATAAAAGATTCTCAAAGAAATTGATAGGGTAGATAAAGACAGGCTATTTAACACAAGGGGAACACGCACAAGGGGACACAGGTGGAAACTGAGTGCCCAAATGAGGCATAGATACGTTAGAAAGAACTTTTTTTCAGTGTCAGAGTGGTTGACAAATGGAATACATTAGGCAGTGATGTGGTGGAGGCTGACTCCATACACAGTTTCACGTGTAGATATGATAGAGCCCAGTAGGCTCAGGAACCTGTACACCTGTTGATTGACAGTTGAGAGGCGGGACCAAAGAGCCAGAGCTCAACCCCCGCAAACACAATTAGGTGAGTACTACTAGTTGAGTGTACACCACACACACACACACACACACACATACACACACACACACACACACACACACACACACACACACACACACACACACACACACACACACACACACACACACACTCACTTCGAGGAGAGGACAAACATTGCGGCCACTTGCCATCTCCTTCCAAATATTGGCTCTCACAAGTACTGGAGGGCAGGGGGAGGAGTGGAGGGCAGGGGGAGGAGTGGAGGGCAAGGGGGGAGGAGGGCAGAGGTGGGGCAGGGGGAGGAGGGCAGGGGGAGGAGGGCAGGGGGAGGAGGGCAGGGGGAGGAGTGGAGGGGGAGGAGGGCAGGGGGAGGAGGGGCAGGGCAGGAGGGCAGGAGGAGGCAGGGGGGAGGAGGGCAGGGGGAGGAGTGGAGGGCAGGGGGGAGGAGGGCAGGGGGAGGAGTGGAGGGCAGGGGGGAGGAATGTAAGGCAGGGGGATGAGTGGAGGGCAGGGGGAGGAATGGAAGGCAGGGGGATGAGTGGAGGGCAGGGGGAGGAGAGGTGGGCAGGGGGAGGGAATAGAAGGCAGGGGGAGGGGAAGAAAGGGCGGTGTATTAAGTACAAGACTAACGTCCTTATAATACTAGTAAGAGAAAAGATATATTTCTTCA